ACTTTCGAATAAATGGTACGATTGATTGGATAATTTTTAGTAGTAAATTAGTTTTTAACCACCGATTCTGGAGTTTTTAACAGTTAGAATATGTTTCTTCTCATTTTACTTTTCACAATTACTTGTGAATTTTCGTTTTACCCTTAAATCCCAAATTTTATTTTTCTTACATTAAGTATTAAATTTTTTTATTAAAAATTACAATTTAAATAATTTAATTATATAAATTAAATAAATTTTTTTTTATATTTTTTAATTAATATTACACACGATAAGATAGAAATAAATTAGTAGTTTAACTGAACATACGACCGACGCATGGATCGTTTGATTATGTCTCGACGAAAATCTGATTGTTGTGAATAACGTATCAAAGTTACTTCGTCTCTTTCCTCATAATTATTAGTATCTTTGATGTTAGTACAAATATCGTTATTCTGTTGGTTATCAGTAAAAATCACTACATGTTTGGCTTTTCTTGAACGAATTTCAGGATCCGCTATCACGTTTTCTTCATTTTCCCTCTCCAGTTGTTCTAAATCGTCGATTAGTTTATACGACTATATCATCCTATCAATCCAAACAGAACAACTATCGTTACCGTACATTAATATACAATTTTTTTCGAATATAGTGCAATTGTTATTTTATTAAATTACTAAAAAAAAATCAACCAAATACAACGTTAGAGTTTACAAAACTACGTCTCTTAGTCTTATAGTAACAAAGCACGTGCGTTTCACTCGTAAAAAGATTGCATGTTTAGGCGAGTAACGAAAGAGGGAGGTCAACCCAATCCCCGTTGACTAAGTCCGTGTGAAGATTTCTGTCACCTTTTCTACTTTCTTCTTCAACCGTGTGTTGTGTGTATGTGAGAACACGTGAAACTCTTTGACTCTCACTTCACGTGGTCCACCGATTTGTATGACCGCAAGATCATCTTAGCATCTTGTGCTTCTTCTTCTTCTTCCTCTAATTCCCAGGTCTCCAGCAGAAGTCATCTGTCAATGGTTTTGGAGATCTTCAAGGGCAGTTTCGTCATTTCACATGACCCACCACCACCCAAAAAGAATCCACCAGTTTTTTTTTTTTACCAGTTAACGTTTTGCTAAAGACAAGGAGCATGTCGTCATCTTCCACCTTCTACTCTCTCTCTCTCTTTTCGTGACTCCATTACGGTGTTTACAGTAAACTCTGAAAACTCAAACGCACAAAACCATACATCCAAACAAACACTATCCGTCGTTCTCTCTCCTTCGGAGAAAAAGGGAAAAAAAAAAAGAAAATCTCTTGCGTTGTAATTATTTTCGAGTTATGGCTAAAATCATACTGTAAAAAATATTCTATCTCCAATGATGGACGCAGATAGACCCCATCGTAGCAGTAGCATCAACAGCAACAATAGCGGCAGTAACGCATCGAGCGAGCTTTTCATTTGCTTCACCTCGCGCCTTTCTTCCTCTTCCTCCATGAAAATATCTTCGAAGTCTATTCTCAGCCCCGGCCGTACAAGGGAACCCTCTCAAATCTCTCTCTCTTCCTCCCTCAGCAGGAGACTCAGGAGTAATGGCAGCATGAAAGGTGGCCAAGCCTCCCCAATGTTCCCCACCAACGGCAAGAAACGTGGCTGCGCTTTTGAAAACCCTGAACCATCTTCTCCTAAAGTTACTTGTATAGGCCAAGTCAGAGTCAAGACCAAGAAGCAGAGCAAGAAGATTAGAGCGAGATCTAAGAGAAGAGGGGAAGTCAGTTTTAGGAAAGTAGACCAGAATAGCAGAGGCAACAATGTAGAGAGCTGTGTAAATCAGGAGTACAATCTGGATAGTCAGTTTCACCATCACCAGCAGCAGCAGCAGCAGCAGCAGCAGCAGCCTCAGGAGTGTTTGCCGCACAGGAATCAGAGATGGGTCCATTTACCCATCACAATATGCGAAGCGTTAAGGGCATTCGGTGCTGAATTCAACTGCTTCTTGCCCTGCAGGTCTTCTTGCATGGCGAATCAGAGGGATAAACAAGGGAAAGCTTTGGGGTCAGCCGGGAACGGTAATGGAAACAGCAGTTCCTGCGGGGCAGTATTTGCGCGGTGGCTGGTTGCGGTGCAAGAAGGAGAAGGGAAAGCGAGGGAGATAGAGTTGGTGGTCGGAGAAGAAGAGGAGGAAAGGAGAGACAGCATGAACAGTCCCACGGAGAGGAGAAGGAGACACATATTTGATAATATTGAAATCGACGAACTCGAAATCGAGAACGCACAATGCCAGGACAAGAACGAGGAAGAGGAAGCCAGAGTCAGCATCTGTATACCGCCCAAGAACGCGTTGCTGCTGATGCGTTGCAGATCTGACCCAGTGAAGATGGCAGCTCTCGCTAACCGGTTCTGGGAGTCACCCATGCCTCCAGATGAAGATGAACAAGGAGAGAAAGAAGAAGAAGAAGAAGAAAAACAAGGAGAAGAAGAAAAAGAAGAAGAAGAAGAAGAAGGGGAAGAAGAAGAGGAAGAAGAAAATGAGCAAAAACAGAGGGATACGGAACTCAGAGGAGAGCTGCAAGTGGGAGTTGAGCGAGAAACAGAGCATGAAGATCGGGCTGAGGTATGTGAAAGAGCGACTACTTCTGAATCTATTGAAAAACAAGAAAACCAGCAAGCGGAAACAAGTTCAGCTTTGCAGACAGAAGAAACTGAAGATGAAGGAGAAAGTGATGACCAAGGAACAAGCCCTGATATCTTCAATGCATCGGAAAGTAGCGCCTATAAGAATCGAGAAGATGGACATGAGGCAGAGGCAGAAAGCCTGTATACAGAATCAGTAGAAGCAAAGCAGACAGAATCAGTAGAGGAATCTGAGTTGAATGTTTCACGACCAGAAATCCTTGACGATCCAGAAAATGAAGCTGTCTCATCTTTGATCCATGAAACCGAGAATGATCTCGAAAATGAAGTGGAACAAGAAAAACATATTGAAGCTGAAGATGCAATCAAAACTAGTACAGAGGAAGAACCTGAAGAAGATTCAGTGGAGACTCAAGAATTAACAGTAGTAGCAGCAGAAGAGAAAGGGACAAGTGAGAAAGAGGAGGAAGAAGAGACAGTGACCCATGAAAGATCCGTACTTGAAGACCCGGAGGCGCTGGAGCCAAACCCGGGTCCAGAGTCAAAGTTCCCGGGAAGTAAAGAAGAAGAGTCAGCGAGAGAAACGACTCAGGATCCACTGTTGCCAGACTGCTTATTGCTGATGATGTGCGAGCCAAAGCTGTCAATGGAGGTATCCAAGGAGACATGGGTTTGTAGTACTGATTTCATCAGATGGTTACCGGAGAGGCCGCCCGTCAAGAAGACCAACGTCGGCGATGAGACGAAGAAGAGAATCAGCATAGCTTCGAAAAATCTTATGCAGCCCCCGTTTACCACCAAGCCGCCAGCTAACAAGCTACTACTGCAGCCGCCGAGGTCTTCCTGCTCCTTCCCTGCCGCACCTCCATCTCTAATAGCGACCAACGGCGGCTCCTCCATGGCTACAATGATTGACCAGAAGCTGGTCGGAGCCAACAGTTACGAGCCGTTCGTTCTCACTCGCTGTAAGTCTGAGCCGATGAGGTCCTCAACCAAGCTTGCGCCCGAGAATTGTTTTTGGAAGAATAGGAAGCTTGAGCCCCATCGGCCGACGACACTCGGTATCGGCGCGGCTGGAGTTGGGTTTTGAGCCTGCTTGCAAAGGGTATATGGTAAAAAACAAAGTGTGGTAAGTTTGCATGGGTAATTGTAGCTTTTCTTTCTTTATGCAGAGTAATTTTACTGCATTTTTAAAGCCTAATATGTGTCTGTAAAAAAGTTTTCATTTTTGAAATTTACATTTTCTAGCAATTCTTTTCATCTTTTTGGTCCTTTTCCATTACATGTACCTCCTTTGAATTGCATATTTTTATAGCGAGCACATAACAAGAAGTATCAAGGAAAAGAAGTCTGAATTTCTACTGACGCTTCACAAAAAAAGTTTGGATTTTTATTGATGCTTCATAGAGAAAGTTGGGATTTTTATTGATGCTTCATAGAGAAAGTTTGGATTTTTATTGATGGTTTGTTATGTGAATTTGGTAGTAGGGTAATGGTAGAGTGCAGTGCATGTTAGTAATGTGTCTGACAGGGATCAAAATGGGCCCACTAGGGGTGAATTAGCAGCCGTTAGATGAGTGTGATGTTGGCAGATTGATGGATGGATGGATGGATAGTGATTTGATTGATAGTTGGAATTATTAAAAGTGGGATGGGATTAGATGTTTAGTCAAGTTTGTTATGTGATATGTCTCCAAATAATGTATAACGAATGGTGGTCCAAAGTGGTCAACAAGGTCAAGACATTATCACATTTCAATTATAGGTTGCTAAGAAACATCATGGGATATATGTTGAGATAAGGTTTGAAACTATGTTGTATTAGTTCCAATAAGTAGGGGCTCTATGTTAAAGGTGGTGATCAAGTGGTCATCAAGTAGGTTGTAATTGTAACTTTTAAGTTGTAGATTCTGAATTTTCTTAGCACTACCTACTTTTGAAGGTCTTGATTTGTAGTTCCTAAAGATTTTATTTGGAGAATTTGACAATGATAATGCAAAGACACTCCAAGAAAATATCGAAAATATTTGAAGAAAAAATAGAAATAATCACTCGAACGATAAATAAGTAAAGATGCAATTCACGTACTCTGTGGTGCAAACTATAAAGAATCTCTTTCGATCTTCGTCCCTGTGGGATTTGAGAATGTATCCGAAAAATAAAACGAAGACGCTCGTTTTTTCTTCTCTTTTGATCCCTACCCTTTAACATGTGCACTAGAAAATTTCATATGCATGCAGAATTCATTCCATTCTCTCACAAAAATCCTTCGAATTCTTTTTTTTTTTCCTTGAAATAATTAAAATTTGAATCAGAAACAGAGTGAAAGATGACTCGGTAAAATATTTGAAATCCTTCCACCATTGAGTGAGCATGATAAGTTGTAATGAATGGGATTAATATAATAAAAGATAGGTGCCTGGTACAGTCAATTCTCTCAATCATGGTCTGCAATTGTTTCAAGTTTCAAGGGCAACAAATTGGTGCTCATCTTTTAAAGAGATTTCAGCCTTTCCAGGTCTAATGCATTATTTGGGCACCTGGTGTCTTCTCCTTTTTATCATGCTGAATAAAGACGACAACAAAATTAAATAAAGAAAATCAGAAAGAAATTTTCAGAATTGGTTATCTGCTTAAATGGGTTTTATCTATATGCAATGGGGCCATGATATACACCTACATATACCTCCATAAATACACACAGTGTGCATTATAATGAACTCGTGTGATGAAGCTTTCTTTAGCTTTTAAGGATCATTGTGTTTTGATGATTCATGAATACCAACTTTTGTGAAACAAGAAAAAAGGGTTTCTAAGATTTAGGTTTCTTGTTTTCTATTATGACGAATTGTTTTATGAGTAGGAAAATCTAAACAATCTTTTGCTATTGCAAAGTGGCTGTCATGGGGTTTTAGATTGGCACTAAAATGAGGGCACAAATTCTCATACAAGTCATTAAAGAAATGAAAAGCAACAAAAGTAAGAGACAGAAAAGTGTCTCCTTCTGTTTATCATTTCTTTTGTTCTATACTGAGCCTATGGTGTAAGCAAGAAAATTTCTATACAAATAAATTAGTAGACCTTATTTGAAAGGGCACATATCTCATTCTCTATTCAAAACATCAATGCAGCATGTGTAGCAAAGTTCTTTGTGTAAGATTTACTGTGTATATATATATATATATATAGCCTTCCAAAATTAATCACTTTAGATGGTGGTTTTAAATTTTTGATATGTCTTTTCCCTATTAATCCCAAATAAAGTTGAAAGAGCTTTTATTTCTTTCCCTTCAGATGATATATGGGAAAGTTGAAAATAGTCTATTAAGTTTGAAATCACAGTATGTCAAGAAAACACGAAAGACAAAAGATTAAGACTCAATTGTAACACAACTCATAAGTTAAAGACAATATAAAATTTACCCTTTCTTTCTTCTGTGAAATAATAGAAAAGATTGCAACCAAAACTGAAAAAGAAAGGGAGTAAACATAAGAGTATACAAGGCATGAAGATGTGAATAAAAGGTAGCTTTTCACGTGCTGCTTCCAGCCTCTCACCATTATTAACCGATCCCACGTGAGACAAGCCACCAGAGGGTTATTACTTCAACAATTCACTAAAGGGTTCACCTTTTGGTCAAAAAGTCCGAGTTTATATGAGACAAATAAAATCCTATACATTTTCTCTGTACTTGATTGGAAGAGACAAACAAATGGTTTTGGGGGATGGGTCTTGGTCCCTAGTGGACTGTTGATTTTCTCTTGTAATCATGTCTATTTTGTTCATAGAAACCTGATGTATTCTGAGATCCCTGTGTCATTGGCTATGAGAATCATAGCAAAAGGCTTGGATCAAGAGTATGTTGCAGACCAGACTCTATCTAATGATCGAGAAGGAAACTCTATAACTGGAGCATTTACGCAAAAGGATGGAGGTTTATCATTAACAGCCATTAGTGGCTCCATATCAGCATTACTTTCTTGGGTTCAATTTTTCCATCCCAAGCTCTCTACTTGGGACATAAATCGGGGGGCTCTGATCTAGCAAGACACAAGCTCATGCATCATCTCCTTCAAATATACCAGTATTCTAGTATGTTTCTAATGACTTCAATATGTAAGAATTTTGTGCATGCCAGTTTCCTCATCAGCATGTCAAACACAGATACACCAGTCATATAGGTGCTGGTTCAGAAGGCCAAACACAGACATACCAGTCATTTAGCTGCCATGCAGACGGCTGAAATAGGAGGAAGTACCTTTTAGTCAGCTGGCCTGCAAGCCATCTACTTTGCCACAAACTTTGCTGCTGTGGATGTTTGGTCCACAACTGGTATTTGCTGCTTCTGGGATCACGGTCATTGTTCTGGACGTTCTTGACTCAACTGTAATCCTGCTACAGAAATTCAAGCCTGCAGAGAACCATGCTCTGATTAGAAGATTGAAAAAGAAATAAATACAGTAGCAAGGATCGCTGAGAATCAACATGACAGCTAAAGGGACTGCATGCAAATTTCAGAAGGTCAAGGTCTACAATGAACATTAAGAAGAATATGCTGAGGATCAATTCACTCGGGATTTGAACATAGACCAAGGAACAAGAAAATAAAAGCTTGAACATGGATATTAAGAGTCAGTTTCTACCTTTTCATCAACTTCAGTAGGCTCACCGAGTTGCCAGCTTCAAAATTAGGATTCAAGTTGATTCAAGCCACAAATCCTCCAAAATGGCAAGCAAAGCAAAAAAGTAAGACCAAATCCTTCAAGGCTGATCTGTTGGCATTCCTTGATTGAGAAGCTTTTATGACTGTCATGTTGCTCAGCAATATAAAGAATCAGAAATAAATGGTGTTTTTGCTCTTTTTACTTCAGGCATCATTATGTGAGAGATCTCAAGATTTGTCTCCCTTTTCTTCTCTCTTTTCAAGCAGTCGTATCATCTTCATCTCAAGCAAATACAATGAGGAAGTAACAAAAGATAAAAAGAAATCTCTAATTTCACCAAGTTCCCTGCCATGATTTTTGAATTCGTGAATTACATTGGATATAATCATCAGTTTTCCAGAGCCTTTTCTGGTCTATGAAAATTTACCATAAAAGCTTTTCCAGAATTAAAAAAATATATATTATAATCATAATGATCCTCCCAAATACGTGTATGGTCATGAAATGTCTCTCCATCTTCTATAGATTTTCCTTAAAAAATATCAATGAATAATATAATTTAGATTGGATGAAAAATAAGTGGCACGCTAAACTCAACATGGAGAAGAAACTCAGGGGCCTGAACCTCCTAGAAGATATCAGAATGTTACGCCCATGTCATCTTCTGCAACAATATACTCTTATTGCATAGAAATATTTGAGGATGGACATCAACAACATGAGATGATATAAGAGCGTGAGAGATTTCGAGATACAACTGTCTTACAAATTTGAAGAACAGCAACCTGTTCCTTTTGATTTAAGTTTGTTTCTCTCTACCATCATTGCTTACCATCTGAATTTTGGTTCTCTTCACGGCTATTTAATTCAGTGTTATCTGAAGGATTCTCAGTCACTGAATTCAGTGATGCTATCTGCTCTTCACCTTTACTTTCATTTTTTTCATTTGTAGATTCTCCCACGAAAGAGTTGATTGCAAGCTGACCAGATAAAAGGAATAAACCAATAGAGTTGATTCCAAAGACAAATGTTGCAAGGTAGCACAATCCATTCACAACAGTCCTGAAAAATAGAGGAGAAGGGACAACCATGATTTTCAGACATAAATTGTTACATATTCATTTACTGGAAGACACTAGCATGAAAGCTACCTTACGGTTATTGTTATTTGCCGAACCTGAAATGCAGGAACACAGTAAAAGTCAGACTCATGTGATGAATATTTGATGCAAACAATCCAAATAATTTAAACTAATTTTCTCCAAAGGCAAGAAACCATGCTGAATATGAAAGTAGAATATATGGGGGCAGGAAACAGATCAAATCAGGTACGAGCCGCGGTTTCACTGCAGCAGTAGTTTCTCAAAGGCAAGAAACCATCCTGAATATGAAAATAGAAGGTATGAAAGCAAGAAACCAATCAAGATCAGGTGAGAGCTATGGTTTCACTGCGCTATTAGTTTCCATCCTACCCCTTACCCAAAAACTCCATCACTTTCCCATCCAAAGAAAATATTCATTTGATAAAAAGAGAAGTCCATGTGCTGCATCATATGATAATATCGGATGAAAGAGCATTGCAGTCACAGACTAACTTATCAGCACATCAGCAAACATGCTAGCAAAAATTTGTAGCATGTATAAACTGTATTCTTAAAATTTAATCTTCAAAGAGATATTTTCAAGTTGTTAATATTGAAGTACAAAGACAATGACTTCAAAGAAAAACAGGGTGGGAACCATAACCTAACTGATGGTCGAATCCATGAGTTACTCCCAACTTGACCCAAAACTTAAGCTGTTAATGGAATAATTTTCTATTGACAAGGCTCTTGGAGAAAGTAAGATCCGATGGAACTTCGGGAGAGTGAACCATAGATTTATCGGTAAAATGTATGTAGTTAGCATTTGAACGGACTTAATACTACATGAGCGAATGGAAATTCCAACTACGAAGACAGAAGAAATGAGCTAAAAACAATAGAATACTAAAAAGCCATAAACTTAATTTTCGTTAGACGGATTTTCAAAATATAAATATCAAGAGCTTGGATGATGGCTCCTCTGAGATGCTATCTAATGAATATTGATTCTCCATGGTGCTAGCCTATTTTTCCCTTGTTCTTCCTAAGAAAAAGAAAGAGGTCCTCCCTCTTAACAGGAAAATATTGCCATAGTTTTTTTGTTTTATGAAAACACGAGTAAACCCGTTATCTTCTCAAGTAGTATAGGTGTAACCTCATGATCGTTCCTTCTTCAACTTTTTGCCCCTGTTCTTTCGTGATACATATGACAAGATCTGTGTTATGCTTCTTCTTAATGAGGAAACATAGTCATACTTACAACGAAAATCAAGTGGCTCCATCATGTTTTCAGGACCATTACTACAACTCCTGGATTTTGAGTGGCTAGCCAAATAGAGATAGAGCATTGAGATACTGATGACTTTGAAGCACTTTTATATGATACCCATCCTTCTCTCATATTATTCTCTGTTGATTAAATTTTAAAGAACGAGTATTATATTGTTTATCGGTGCTGTCTTTTTCTACTTGTTTTTACTTTCCATGTTGCATAGCTGATAAATTAAAAATGCAGAGAAAAAGTTGCAGTCCTTTGAAAAGGCAATCTGAAGCCTATTGCTCTCACCCAAGTAGGAAATTAGTTTTTGCAATAATGTTCAGACCAGCATAAGCAATAAGCAACCTCATTAGTTAAACAACACTATCAGTGGAAAAAAAAAAGGAAAACTAGCAGAATCAATGGGTTTGAACATGTAGTTCAGAAAAAAAAACATTTAGAAACGCTATGAAGGAACGAACCGAGAAATTATCTGAAATTGTCTGGCGGTTCAGAGCTGCCTCAATAGTAAGTGTGAACTTGTAAAGAATCAGGGCAATCACACCAGCAGTTATTCCACCTAAAAATGCTTGAACTGGGGATGGTGAGGACTTAGGTTGAATTGAAACTGACCCCATTGCTTTCAAGTTATCCAATGCTTCATCCTTCAATGACTTTTTTACCTCTGAAGATCTAAATCTCTACAAACAACAAAATACATTTCCTCAAAATGATTAACACATACAAAGCGACTAAAAGAAACATCATATTAGCACATAACAAAGTGATTCAAAAAAAAGCTAAGCCCAGTTCTCAGAATGCAAATTGAAAGCAACTAGCCTAATCAAAATGGCTTGGAACCAACAGAAAAAATCTAAAAGATTCACGCTGAAGAATCTATTGACGCGCAAAAGAAAATACCAACGAAATCGGAAAAAAAATAAAGCCTGATTCATCAAAATTTCGAACTGGTATGTATTGGGATGGTCCAGTAAAACAAACTCAGAAGTAAACATATGATCTTAGCTTTGCATAAAACAGAAACAGCAAAAAATCCACATAATTACGCAGCCTTATAGTGAAACAAATAAGATATATGAAGGAGGAGAATGAAGCAAGTAAATTTCTACAACGAAATATCAATTTAGAAACATAAAAAAACCCTACCAAATTTCACGAGGAACCAGAGTTTTTTTTCTTTAAAAAAAGACATATACAATAAAAACAGAGTAGAATAAAGGGTTAAAGAACAAAACGGATGCTTTACCAGTTCTTTTGCGCGCTTAGCCCGTCGGCGAAGCGAGCGAAAGAGGAAGACAGAAATGGCTCCAGTGAGGAGAACACTGGTGGCCACCTGGAGAGTAGAAGGGTCGTCGGTTGTAGCGAAAATGGTGGAGGTAGACGACGAAGTCTGTGGCAGCTCAATGGGGCCTTCTTCTTCTGCTGCAGCAACGGGTATACTGGATTCGGGGAATCGAGCGGGCCATGTATCAGGCCTGGTCCGAGGAAGAGCTGACAGAGTGAAGAGAGAAGCGGGTGCGCGGACTGAGATTAGAGGAGAGAAAGAGTGACTTTGATGATGAGAGAAGGAGGGAGGGAAGCTGTGGGTCAGAAGATAATTGTGGGTCTGCAACACAGACATTCTCTCGTATTGCCTTTCGGGTTACCAAATTTTCAGTTTACACAAAGTTATAGCATTGTGTTCATCGTCTTCTTTAGAAGCTTGGAAGGGTATGCGTGTGCGATTATATGTATCTTCTTGATTTTCAGATTTCTGGATTTAATGGTGTTCGCTGATACTTGGCGAAATATCTTCTATGGATTTTTCAACATTTTGTTTCTTCTATTTGATAGTCGAACGGTGCCGTTTAGGAGTAAATAATTTGTGGAAAACAGAGAGAACGAAACCCGACTGTAACGGGCTGTAAAAATGAAAGAATTTCATTAAAATATGAAATTGTGAACTGTACAGAATCATGAATGTAGTGAAGCTCTTTATTAAATCCAATTACAGTCAAATAAATATGGTTAAACTTTGTTTTTTCGTTAACACTCTTGGCGCACGTTAGTGGCGACAGTTCTTGCCCAGAACTTGATGTGTGCTTTCATGTCTTCTGCGGAGTTCTTGGCGACCCAAGTTGGAATGAGAGGTGCACAGCTCCTCTCCATCCATGACTGAGACCAATTATAAGGCCTACTTCTCATCATCATCACCATCTTGTAACCTAATTCATTTGGATCATCTTCTCTTCTCTTGTCAAATCTGAATCCCAACTCCTCGAAACCTCGTAATTCTTCTACCTCAAGGTAGCTCAAGCTTTTCCTCAGTTTCTTCTGGTTCAAGCTTTCCTTTCTTGTTTCTTTCATATCATGTTTGTTGCTGATACTTTCTACATCTGGGTTCCTCGGTGGCCGATGTCTTGAACTGCTAGGACTCTGTATTGGTAACGTATTGCAAGTCTTATAAATATATATATATATATATATATATATATATATATATATTAATAAAGAAACTGGGAATTATAGTGTCGGTAAAGGTTATACCTTTGGAGTTAGTCTGTGAGGGGAGGTTTTGGATGAGCTAGCCAATGCTTCAAGAATCAATGTGCTCATCAGAGCATCACTGTCTTTATCTTGATCCCTGCCTATATAAGACGGCAAGGTTTGTGTTCTTTGCAACGATGAATGAGTAGCTGCAGCTGGTTTGATTCTTCTGGTTTCACTTTCTTTCTGAATTCCTTCCGGTTTAGTAGGTTGCTGCGGCAAGATTCGATCAGATAATTGCCTGCCCAATTTTCCTCTTTGCTGAACTTCATCTTTTCTACCTATATAAGGTGGCAAAGATGGCGCACGAACCAAACCGCCATTAGTGGATTGAGAATTTGCAGTGTGTGAATTCTTTGAAATTTCTTGGTTGAAGTTTGACGAAGAACAAGGATCAGAATAACACCTCGGCATCCTAGCTCTTCTGTTGACCAACAGATTACCGTAGAACCAGCACTCGTCGAATAGATCATCGACATGTACATCTACTTCTATGTCAACTCCACCACTAGGAGAGGACTCCAACTTTTGAATATCAATTGTGGTCTCCATACCTGCAGAAACAAGGAGGAGAAGGAGAAGAAGACGAAGAAGAAGAAGACA